GCTGCGGCGGAGCTCCAGCGCCCGGCCCGCCTCCTGCCCGGCCCGGTCCAGCCCAGCCCAGCCCCCGGCCGCCGCCTCTTCCTCCTCCTCCTCCTCCTCCTCGCCCAAGCTGGCTCCCCTTCGAGCTTTATCCGCGGGCACAGCTGGGAAGCCCGCGCTGGGCATCGATGCCCGCTGGCACTGCCTGCCTCCAGGTCGCCCAAGGTCCCCGGAGGAGGAGGAGGAGGAAGAGGAAGGCGGTGGGAGGGGGGGCAGCCAGCCCTCCCTTCCTCCTCCCCTCCCCCTGCCGCCTCCCCCGCAGAGCATCCTCTCCTTGCTCCTGAGTAGGGGCCACCTTCGGGCCCCTTTGCGAACCTTCGGCCTCTACTCCTTGTAGCCCCCAAAATTAAGGGTGATGAGCCCTGCCTTAGGCTTTCTAACCCTTGATTGCGATGGAACCTCCAGGTGTAAGAGCAGCGTACCAGAGGGTACCCAACCCCGAGCCTAGGGACAACAGGGGGGGCGGACACCGAAAACTGTGTGTTACGGAGGTGGTAAGGGGTCCAGGGGTGGGGCTGGAGGTGGTATTCCATTCCTAATTTCCTCCCCGGTTGCCACAACTCTGGCAAGGAGAGGAAAAGGTGATTCTGCCCTGGCCCGGAGGCTCTTGGTCTTTATACTTGTTCAGCTGGGCTCTTGAAAACAGGCCCAGAGGCCAAGATCAAGGATAACCCTCTTCCTTAAACCCCCAGCCTCCCGAACTCGTCGGGCCCGTTCTGCGATCCTGCACACACACCCTGCACCCTGAGTAAATGGACAAGGGCGGAAAAGAACACACGCATTAAATGCCATTGCGTGGGGTGGGGTGGGGGTTCTAGAGGATTTTTACTGTGTTCTTTCCACCTCCTCCTCCTTATCATCCGTGCATTATTTCCAGTGCTTTTTGGGGGGGGGCAACTGGGAAAGGTTTCCACCACGGCCAAGATAAGAAATAGGCAGCTGGTTTAACGAACCCGAGACACTTTGGGAGACGAGAGATGAAACGCTGGCCGTCCTTCGGCTTTACCACCGTTTGGGGAGAGGCTTCGGGGAAGACAGCCCCCAACGCAACTCCAAAACATTGCAACATTTATACATGCCATGGATTCATCAGCAATGAGCTTTTTTATCATTTCTTGAGAAGGAGAAACGTCCCATTGGCCGGTGTTCCGTGAGCAATGACCAAAGCCATCTTTTATTATTATTATTAAATTACAAAATATAAACCTACTACCAGAAAGAAAAAAAAAACACACAATAAATATACAATTACATATCACAGAGGGCCACCATCCCCAAAGCCATCTTGATAGGTAACTGGAACCGAAGCGAAACCAAAGTCTGAACAGGATTTGCAAATTTGTATTTGCAAAACGAATACGGACGGAGCTGCGTCTTTTTTAAAAAAAACGAACGGGACAGGTGGGGTGGGGTGGGCGAAAACCCCTCCAGAGGAGGCCGATCAGCTCTTGGTGTCGAAAGAAACTCGAGGAAAGGGGGCGAAGGAGGAGCGCTGATAAAACCAGGGCCATCTGGCAGGCAGACAGAACAAGGACCGTTATTTTGAGTCCCCCGCCTGGCCTGGCTTCCTTCCATATCTGGCACTGCTGAAGAGATGCCCTCCGTTGACCCCATCGGTGGGATGATACCCAGAGCTCTGGCTATTCAGAGGCCGCCCATGATCCCCAGCTTGGCCCGGCAGTGCGTGGATCAAATGGAAGAAGCAGCTGAGGTTTTGCACGGTGCCGGGTTCAAAACGACCGGGACAGGGTGCTTCTAGTGTTGTAGCAATTATCCTGGAATAGTTGTTGTGGGTTTTTCGGGCTCTTTGGCCGTGTTCTGAAGGTTGTTCTTCCTAACGTTTCGCCAGTCTCTGTGGCCGGCATCTTCAGAGGACAGCACTCTGTGCTCTGGTGTAGTTGGCTTGGGAGTGGAGTATTTATGCTGTGAGATAGGCTTTTGTCCTTTTCAGGAGATGGGTGATTAGTGTGTCTTGTTATGGATGTATTGTTGTGATATCCTGGAATTGTTAGAAAGATGGGACGTGAGGATTTTAATTCACATACCTCTTGCATAGTAATGGACAAGTGTGGGGGGGCTTTAAG